ATTTATGTTCTTTCTCGTTCTCAAATTGCTTCTCCCAGCAATAGTAGAAATCCCCTAGAAAATCAAATTACGCCCCCTTGTGGGACGCGTGGCCCCATCTTAGATGCTCTAAACATCCAGTTTTAGATATTTTAAGGGAGAATTCTGTATTATCGAAGCTTTCAGATTTATTGTACTCTGGGCTATCTCATTAAAAGTTAAATTAAAAACAATATAAATAAGTACCACGTAACATATTGATTTACACTGAAAATTATCCCTAATATGGATGGAAAAATTGTTTCTCTTCTACGATTTTTACTAATATTTCTGCAGCTTCCAATTTTTTCACAAGTGTAATGCTACACTAGTTATATAAGTGATGCGAATGACAATGAAATCATAGAAAATAGTAATTAAAATTGCATAACGAAAATTCACAATCGTGTGACTTCTGTTAGTATAAAAAAAAAAAAGAGAAGAAAAGTTCATGGATATTTTTTCGTATTTAGGGAGAACCTTTTCCCTTTTCCCCTTTAATCTGATGACCTGAATCCGTTCTAGCCAATCTTTCCTCGCTCGAACCTTTTAGACTACAAAGTGTCAGATTATTGTAGTTTTCAACAAAACGAATCGAGATACGGTAGATCATAGAAATTTTCATCTTCTCCTTCACTTGAAAAAATCCTTGATCCGAGATTAGATCAAATAAAAGATAATTGAACTTGTATCAATCCTAGTTAATTCATATGATCCGAAAGACGATGGAAATTTCCCTGCAACCTAGTTACGTTCGTTTTTTTTCTTCTCTTTCGCGACGGAACATCTTTTGCTTTTGAGAAATGAAACGAATCGGAAAGTAACGAAATTTTCAGCGCGATTAATGGCTTCGATGCGGGGGGAGAGGTGATTGACGTGTGTGTTACCCAACTTTCGGGCAAACATGCTATTAATTACCTAGATGGGTATTTCATAAAATACGGGCGTTAATTAATTTCACTTAAAATTTCCTCGCGCCACGTGGCCCCGTTTTATCGCATAAATTGCATTTTTAATTCCGCCTTCGTCGGGCCATTAAAGTGATTGAAACAACTTTTCTTTAAACATGGTCGCGGAACGAGTCATTAGTCGCTGTTGTGCATGCCAAGTTTCTTTTCTTTCTTTTTTACCGAATCGAACGTTCAAACGAGATTTACGTTCCTTACGAGACTTTCTATCTGCGATCGAAACGAGATGAATTTTCTGACGTGGGATTATATTCTGCTTGTAGTTTACAGAAGTGAAAAATCGAAAGGTGAACTCGGTAGAATTAATTTGGA